ACTCTGATTGGCTAAGTGATTCTACTCTGAACGGTGATTGGTTATATTTTCACATGGGAAGAACGCCATACGCGAAGCTGATTGGACGTATCGCTTTTTTCACATGTGGAAATATAGCACATATAGAATTCTATTTGCAAGGTTTATTGCGTAAAATTCTCGCTATATGTACAATAAAAATCTTATTCCAGCTACTAACTGGCCATCTAAATGTGTTCATATTTACGTGGCTTTAAAGCGTGGAATTGTCTTAGGCCGGAGTTCCACTGCAAATAATTATGTAATGTAGTTCCGAATCTATTACAATAGGTGTTCCATGTTTCATCTCGCGTAATTCGTATCACAGATACACGTAGACAAGGTATCCAACCTTTAAGATTTACCTATTTAAACGAATTCAAAAAGTACGTTTTCTGGAGACGAAAAAAAAAAATCATTGACTTGCCTGCAATAAAGTGCAAAAAAGTCTGTGGCTGAGTGAGTTTTTGGTTTCATTGGGTGATACGTTTTTCTACGAATGCCATTATTGCAATGTCGTGTCGTTTCGAGTCGTTTCGTGTTGTGTGTTTCCTTGCCTTCGTTGCAATGCGTAGTCCAGCATGTTTTGGGAAAACCTGTTGAACACCATGACAACGCTTGACCAAGCCCCATCGTCTCATCCCATGGTCACAGTTAGACTTGACAAAGAGGAATAATACGTGCGGCCGATTCCCTTGTTTGCAGATTCAAAATTTAGGGGCAGCGTGCATAAAAAAAGAGTTGAGTTGATGATTGACTGACTGACTGACTGACTTACTGATTGATTGATTGATTGATTGATTGATTGATTGATTGATTGAAAACTTGAAACATCGGCCTGTAAGATTACGTTTCGCATGAAAACGTCGAGACGCTTGAGCAGTGATATGTAATTGCACTATCAAATTATTTCCAGCAAAATTTTAGGACAAGTCAACAAATTTTAAGTTCCCTGCCTCAAAATAATTTTAAAGTTAGTACCTGGATTCAAAGTTGAGAGACCTCAAAAGCCCACCGCCAGACNACCCCAATACCTCCCTTCCCACCTCACGCTGGCTCTGAAAAGCCATGCTAGAGCACAAATTCTATAAGAAAAGGGAAGAAAATTACGAGATAATTTGTGCAAGTTTCGCTTTTTTCTCCACTTATTAACAAAGATGGAAGAGGAGTAACAAACTCTTTTCGTAATCAAACACTGGGGATCTGAAAAGACAACAGGGAAATACATCACTTAAAACTACATGAAACTTCAGACTTTAAAGGTCTCGTAGAAAAACAACACGAATGAAAGAAATAGCTGTTGTTGATATAAGATTTTGATAGCAAAGATTACAATCATTTCAGAGAGCATATTATGTAACCTCTCATTAAGAACCTAAAAGAGTTCCAACGGGCATATGTGCCGCTGTTAAGAACTCTTGGGGGCCGAAACATAAAGCAGTGATTTTGAATTTCAAATTCATTGTCCCCAGAGTGGAAGAAAAACTAGAAATCCAGGTCGAAGTTCTGGGAACTTTTTAAGTTTTTTAGATCAGCTTCGCATCTTACCTTTGAGTTCTGCCTTTAATGCCAGAAAATCATTCACTTCTTTAGGTGATATGTCTGAGAAAAGAAATCAATTGAGTACCAAGCTGTAGACATTTCGAAGCTTAAGCTATTACCTTGTCAACTATCCGAGCTGCGCAATCCGGTAAAACCTGTTTCTCAACTCTGCAGTTATTGGCTATTACTGCATTTTAAGTAATATTCCCAATGAGAAAGACAAGAAAGTATCACCAAAGTTAACTTTAAAGAGACGAAGATATATTTAAGGTTATTCTGCTGTTGAATATACAACGAACGGGAACAGGATCATTTTGTAGTATTTTTAACTGCCAGGCTATGCTAGTTGCTGTACAGTAGCTGTACTTTGAACAAAACCCAATGAAAATACCCAACTTTGATCGTGTTGGGCTCTATGGGTTCTAACTGGGCTATGTAAACGGTAAACGGTAGCTAACAAGTCAAAGTGTATAGAACACCGCAAGAGACGATCTCGTGCAACAAGAAACCGGCATTACCGCAAGTTCAGCGGGCGTTGTCTTGACGTTGAAAGTCTTGCTGGCGAAACTCTCGGTGGAAAAAATCGTGATTAGGCTTGGCACAGCATACGGCGACAAGGACAATCAGGAGAGCAATCAACTTGTTTTTCATCTTGATGAACAGAAGTTAAGTTTTGCCAACGTCTTGCTAAGATTACCGTCGCAAGGGGAGCTCGTTCCTCAGCCGACTGCAGATATGATGTGCACCGTACGAGAGTAGATTACCAACTGATAATTAGTATTTGCGTTTTTGCTTATAATGCCCTTTAAACCATAGTAGACAGAATCCCCCCATTGAAAAGCGTCCGCCGAGAAAAAATGGGGTTTGACCTGTGAACGAGGTTGCAAAGGGTGCCGCCGGGATCCTTGAGTGACGAATTCCCAAAAGAATATTATAAGTTCTCAAGTGGGGTTTTTGAAAACAATACAGATACAGATGGAGTAATAAGTGTTGTTTGAAAGTTTTGAAATTCACATTCCATCTGTAAAGGCTACTTATATACATTTCAAAAGAGCATGTAGTGTACGGCAAAGAATCGAAGCAACCTACCCCTGGGGAAAATCCAGTTATCCCACCCGAAAGAAGACATATTTCGCTTCGCCCAATCGCTGAAGCATTGAACATTGATGTCTTCGCTTAACAGCAGTATTAGGTAATTTCTTTAAGCCATTCTCTCGCTAACTCAAATTTTATCGTTCGAACATTTTTGTCAACAAAAGGACAGTTTTTGATCGAGATTTGGCAAACTCTGCAGTCTATGGCACATTTGATTTAAAATATCAATTAACAAATTAAGAGTAAAAGCAGAGAAAGCGAGAATTTTTTTCCCGAACATTGAAATGTTACCTGAAATCTTCGCTTTGCTGCGGCATAAAGTATTATTTAATGAAACACACTACTTCTATTCTTCTCCGAAGAATAACGCAAAATTTGAGCAGTCAGTCGAAGCTGGAACAATACTCCTGAAAACAACCTACACTGGGATTACTTGATTGACAGGTCTTACCCATCCTCTGTCTCTTTTTTCGCGTCATTTGCATTTTTCTGAGTGATGTTTTTCAATGGACGCTATTCTGTAACTGATCTCTGCCTGAGTTACACTAATCCGCCTTTTTCCCAGGTAAATGTTACAGATGTTTATCGTGCCACAGTTTATATCTTNTCAGGGTTGAAGAGAACTGAAGAGAGAAGAGAAGAGAAGAGAAGAGAAGAGAAGAGAAGAGAAGAGAAGAGAAGAGAAGAGAAGAGAAGAGAAGAGAAGAGAAGAGAAGAAGAGAAGAGCTGGGGAGAGATTGTTTTTCGCCACTCAGTAAATGCTTCGCTGCTCTCGACTCGACTCGAAATCCCGTCATACACTGGGAGCCATCCAGGCTAGAAAAGGAAATGAGAGGACAGATGCTAAGCAACAGAGAATTTTTTTCAGCATAAATGCTGAACGTATATATCGGCTGTAATTCTGGCTTTGACAGTGGTGAAAGTGTTGATTCACGTAGATTGCCTTATTCACAACTAGAATAACCATGAAACAAATAAAAGCAAAAATAAATAATATTTCATGTAAAGTTATTTTATTGCACAACTAACGTGACTAACAAGAAAACACAAGAAATATCGCAAAGCAGAGCTAATTTGCTGTTAATGCTTCACGACAAAACACTAACGCAGTCTCTATATACATATTATAACCCAAAAGCAAATCAAGCCGAAATCAAAGTCCAACACGTCTATACTTAACTGAAGCAGCAAGGTTAGCTATCTTTCTCAGTGTTCTCATGACAAAAATTGTAAAACACTACCAATTCAGAAAATATTTTAGACTACTTTTTCAAAGAATACATGAAAAATACTTTAAAAATATAGGAAAAAACGGCAAAGAGCGAGCAGGCAGTGTTTTAACTGAACTAGCTAGCGCAACAGTTTGTAGATGTCGTTCTTCGTTTCATCAATGGTCTCGAGGATTGGGATGATACTACTCTTTAGTCTTTCCACGGAGGTCTCCAGGGCCTCAAGACTCGATTTGCACTGCTTGCTATGCTCGATGTTTCTTTTAAACTTGTCGTAGATCAGGGTCAGTCCACGAATCTTCGTTCCATCCAAGTCTCCCTCCAGGTTGGCCAGCTGTTCAGCCATTACCACACTCCACACTATCAGATGGTCCTCGTTACTCGCGTATGCGTTTGGCACGTAGATCAAATACTGCTTCTGCGGATTAACAGCAACTTCAAACCTTCCTGATCGTCGAGCAATACCACTTGTCATCGACAGCAAGATGCCCACCTTAAACTGGGGTGACTTCTCGAGGTTCTCTACGAATGACTCAATTTCACTTTTAGGAACGGGCGCATTCTTGTTCTTCACTTCGATCATGATGCTGTGGTTGTTGGGAGTTTGGACCGCTATATCTCCTTTACCTGCCTCAGAAGATGTGTCAGAACAAGAAAAGGAAGTCAGGCTTTCCTTTAAAATATCTATTACCTTCCTTTCAGCGCGAGCGCCTTTGGAACTGGGTTTCTCAAGAGAGGTCGATATACTCTCCAATTTCCGCTTGCACGCGGCCAGGTACAAAGCAACCCGTCCTTCAGATTCTTTGATCTCTCTACTTAACTGGGTTTTGATACCTTCGGCTGACTGATNCGCAAAATTTGAGCAGTCAGTCGAAGCTGGAACAATACTCCTGAAAACAACCTACACTGGGATTACTTGATTGACAGGTCTTACCCATCCTCTGTCTCTTTTTTCGCGTCATTTGCATTTTTCTGAGTGATGTTTTTCAATGGACGCTATTCTGTAACTGATCTCTGCCTGAGTTACACTAATCCGCCTTTTTCCCAGGTAAATGTTACAGATGTTTATCGTGCCACAGTTTATATCTTTGGCAATTTTGCATATTTCGTTAAATTCCTGAAATATTTCGAGGAAAACAAAATCATCTTTACTTCACCTCCCTGATTTTTGTTGAAAAAATATTAGATTACCAACTTAACCGATAATTGGTATTTGCGTTTTTGCATATAATGCATATGTACTGTGAACAATGGTAAACCAAGCTTTGATTTAATGTTTTTCAAACTCGGTATGAACGTTAACTAATCCCTGTCTGAGTTACACTTATCCGCCCTTTTCCCGGGTAAATGTTTACTGATTCACAGTTTATATCTTGGGAATTTTTGCAACATTTCGTTTAATTCTGAAATATTTCTTGCAAAACGAACCTATATTTACTTCACCTCCTGGTTTTTGTTATAAAAGATTAAAAGAGTTGAAAAATGATGAGCCGACGACTGATGTGTTTAATTGTTGCCTAGGAAAGGTTTCCGTGAGAACTTATAACTGGTCTGTAATCAACAGACTATTACAATTATGAGAAACTAATTAAGAACAGCTTGCTGCAACGATCATCTCTACCTCTACAGGAAAGAAAAATTCGATTTTCTCAAACTTTGCAGGATGATAAAGAGTTGGTTCATGCTTAGCGTGCCTATATCGAGTTATGAATACACGCGGGAATTCTGGATGCTTTAAGAGACCGAAATCGGTGGTAGCCTTTCCAACCTTCGTTCATGGCATTATTGGTACCGATCCCACTTTTCCCGGCGATGCCTTTCAATGGGCGCGATTCTGTTTATTGTTATACATTGAACTCACTATCTCTTTTCTGATTGGCCGAAAGCGTACAGTGAATTTTCTAAATCAGCACCTGTGAAGTCATCTAGCTGCAGACTATACAATAATCATGTCAAGGACACTCTAGGTCACGGGTAATCATGTCATGTATGACTGCGTTGCATGATTTCTAAGGGTAATTATGTCAAGTTCGCGAGCTTTGTGTTGCTTGCCGTCATTGAAAAAGCAAAAACATGACTTCCATTTTTGTTTTTTTTCGTTCAATGTATAATAAATGTATAATGAAACAATTATTAGATTCGGTTTTTGTGATATCTAGAATAATCAAGGTCTCGGTAAGGTTTATCAGCCTCATTCTTCGGCTTCGGCTGATAACCCCTACCTCGACCTTGATTATTCTGGATATCACAAAAACCTCATCCAATTAATAATTGTTTACATTTGTTTAAAGGACAATATGTGCGAGATTCAAATGCAATATTATAGAGGGATTTGGCTAACGGAAACTACCTCAATTAAAGACCGATGATCAATTGCTAGGACTTGTCACTTCCCACAAAGTACTTGGTCTAGTGTTTCAGAATAGCTTAAACTGGAACAATCACTGTCAAAAAAGCCACTAACCGCCTTTACATACTCCGAGTACTTCGGAGAGGAGGCGTTGAGATTAAAGACCCAATTACTATCTATATTACTCTGATACGATCTGTACTTGAATATTGTTGTGTAGTATGGCACCACGCCCTGCCCTCTTACCTCTCACAAGAGGTAGAACGCGTACAAAATCGTGCTCTTAAAATCAGCGTACCTGCGCTTTCTTATTCAGAAGCTCTTCAATTCCTAAACCTTCCTAGATAAAATGAAAGACGCAGTGAACTTTGCGTGAACACACTTAACAAGATCTCAAGAGGTGGACGACTTCTTCTCGTCTGCATATGCATTGGTTGGTACAGATTTTCAATTGATTTCTTTTTTTCATGCAGAGTACGTCCAGAGGAGAATGATAATTCACTTTTAGCAGCAGGACTCCAAGATGAGAATTTTTAAAACGGGGTAGAAGCTTAAAGTCGCGGCGTCGCTTTGCAACTGAGGCCCCGTTTACACGGGTCCGGACAAATTTCTGCACGGACAAAAACTCGCACGGTTCCACCATGCGTTTACACGGGACCGGCTGAACTGGACAAATTTTTGAACGGTCAAGTGTGCCAGTTTGGGACGAAAAAAGCAGGTCAACTTTTTGACCGGCACGGTTTCATATGTCGTACAGACTCGTGTGGACTCGTGTAAACACCCGAACCGTGCAACTTTTTGCTCAGATAGCGCGGTTAAGGCCTGGAATCTAGTTATGTTTTGCCTGGCTGCTCAGCAAAAATGAAACATTTTGTTGCATTTCGTCCCTGGTTTGTTATATTTTGTTAAATTTAAGACAAAAGAAACAAACAAAAGCAGATTACAGATATGACGAGACGAGCGGCAGTAGCATGCATCGCTATTTTAGACGGATTAACCTGATTTTTTTTTTTTTTAGTTTGTTTTGAATTCGATCTTTATTTAAGCTTCCTGACCCCTCGGTACGTCGGGGAAATTTCTCCTTGTCGTTATCAGGGTACTTTTCCAAAAAAGGTTTGGGTTACGTCTTCGTACTTGCTCCTGACCGTTTCTCAATCAACTCCTTCCCCTGCTTTTTTTGCTTTGTAGTCAATAACTACACGTAGCAACAAATTAATTTCTTCATCAAACCACGTAAAGTTCTTGTCTGCCGCCATGTTTGATTTGCCGCGTACTGCATCAGCTGCATTATGATTGGCTTAAAACATTAGCGATAACCAATCACAACATAGACGTAAAAACGCCATTTAAAGCCGCGTTTGGTCTAAAATTTGCACGGATCCGTGTAAAAACTGCTGCAATCTGTAACAGGATTTGCACGGACCCATGTAAACAGGCGGTCTAGGAACAAAATTCGTCCGTGCAAAAATTTGTCCAGACCCATGCAAACGGGGCCTGAGTGAAAAACAGAACTGAGACGCCTTTTAAGAACCTGTTTTAAAGGGAATACTGCGATAGAACACCCTGTAAAGACTGTTCAGTTATTCCAACAGCATCATGTTCTACTCATTTGACACCTCTTAGTTTATGTGGAGTTATGAACTTACAGAAAATACTTTTAAGCATTTTCTGTAAATTTGTTTTTCTATCTTTTGACGTAGCTCTTTTTGGATAGTCCGCACCTACACTTTATTTCAACTTAGAGTGGTTATTTGGGAATTTTGTGTTAAAAAGCTAGGCCTTTAACTGAAAGATCATTAAGCTTCGATGGGCCTGTCTGGTGCTTTATGGCAATAAAGCAGTTGGCTTGAACGCCTCGACCGTGTACACTCCAATTTTATGTTTTCTCCTCCATGAGGTGACCGCTATAGCTACTGAAGAGATATTCAAAAGAGGATACCTGAGGCCGGCGGAAGAGGAAAACAAGACCTGGCCACGTTACAAGTTTAGAGTAAGAGAAACAGCTAATTAGCTACAAATTAACTGTTTAATTACCTGTTCAAATTAGGCGCATGTTACTTTACGTAAAATGACGAAACAGGTATATTAAAGCTCTGTTGCTTCAATTGACGTTCCCAGGGGAGAGGGGAATCAAAAGATTCGAGCAGGAAAACAACCCTTTGATGACGTTGTCTACAAACATCTCTGTGGTGTTTCTGATTGGTCAACGTTGCTAGAGTTACCGGTATGAACGTAACATGAATGAATATGAGACTTACTAATATATGCTAATTTATATCGACTGAAATTACCGACCCAAGAAGCGGAGAGATTGATTTTAAGATTCGTGGTCTGTTTTTCAACGCAGCGCCAAAAAATAAATTAATTATCAAGAATATATTGCTTTCTGAATTAATCCCAAAGGTAAATATTTCTTGTTTATAGTATATGTCTAAGTCTGAATCCGAATCGAAATTAATTATCTAGAAAATTGAGCAGAAAAAATGACATTTTATCAGTGTTTTAAGCGATGGTATATTAAGTGCGTTTATCGATCGTAAAAGAATATTCAGTTACTTACTCGCAAAAGAAACAAATCAGTAATTCATTTATCAACTGGACAATGGGATAGAATAGACAGGTGTTTGCTGTCAATTTACTTTAAGAGCAGTAATATTTTTTGGTACTTTGCTTTTCGAACAAACAGCTTGTTTCCATGCATCGGAGAGGAACTCATTACAATACATGTACAAAGCTTAGCAGAAGGCATCTGGCTTGAACTTCAAAGCGAACACTGAATCTGTAATTTTCTTTTATGCGTGATGATCGACAAGAACACAGCTTCAATAACACAGCGAAATAAAACCAAAAGAGACGTCTATAAGTTGATTTTTCCAAAAACGTAGAGTCAACGTGGGCGTTAAATGCAATTGTTCTATAAACACAGCTGCGAACAGAAACCTAAGAAGTGTCAATCTGGAAAGAAAGAGTTTCAAAACACAAGCGAATATGCAACGAAAAGAAGAGCAATTCGATTATGTAAGGTTGCACTTTACAGCATTTTCACTCACAGTGATGTCTTAATCATAAAAGGAGACAGATAAGGCAACATAATGGTGCAACCGTATGTTAGAATATTCTTGGCTTATTTATTGTTATCAACACTGTGTTTTCACGTTAAGGTAAGTCGTCCTTTTTTTAATCAAATCTATGGAGCATGTTTTAGTTATAAGTGTTAGTAAATTTTGTATGCACAGCTCATATTGTAATCGGTATTCATTTTTTCAGAACTCTGTTGATTCTCCGCCATCCGTTCCAGTCGAAGGTAAGAACAACATTGATCTTCGCCAAATCTTTTGTATAGATAACGAACGCTTATATTTACCCGCAAATCTTATTACCCTAGATATGGACTTAATTTCAAAACTATA